AATACTGTTGTTTTATCATTATAATTACGAAGCAGTTAATAACAATTATCATCACTATTACCAATCTATTCCTCGAGATATTATCTACTTCTATTTATAGCCCCTTATCGAACGGCACCGTAATATTTTGCCAGTTTTCGCCTTTCTTTTACTATTCACTGTTTAGAATTAATCTATCTCTGTTCTTATTGCTGATAAATTATTCTGCAATCTAACCAAGAAATCGTCCTCGACTTTTCTTCTTAAATCAACGATTTCCCTTCTTAAATCATTTCTTTTTATCCCACTCTTTCTCTCTGCATCTCTCTCGTTTGTTCTTGCACTTATATCGCATAACCAAACTCCTAAACACAGGAATCGTGTATCTGACTTTAAAAAAAAAAATCACTGAACGTTTTCGGATTACCAATATAACAAGGAATTCTCCGTTCTTAGAATCACGGCGGATGTTTACTCTCTACTCAATAACGGTTGACACGTCCTTCCAAAAACTTGAGCCAGTTTTTCACTCATTATATCAACAATCACACCGCATAGACATTATTAAAATTTCTATAAATAGTCAATAGCGTAACCGAGCAAAAACCGTGCTGGTTGTGAAAAAAAATTTTTTTTTAAATTCTCGTTTCATGTTCAAAGAATTAAGTTTGCAAATTAAAATGAAGTTTTTGATGCCTGTAAACATTTGTTTTTTTGCTCAAATTTAAAATTTTTTTTTTTTTTCCATTTATTTTTAATCTTCTGTACGAATGCACAATTAAGAAGGTGTAAGCCTCTCATATGCCTACACAAACCTGTCTCTTCTGACAATACTACATTTAAGAAAAAAAAAAACACTTTATTACATCAACAAATTATGGAGAACGCATCTTCTGATGCTGCTAGCTTTACCAATAAGCTGAATAGCCAAAATGAAGGCGAAGAATTCCAGAAAGATTTTTGGCTACGATTCAAAATCGTCCCAGTCGTCATCTTGACACTGGTCACTCTCATCGGCAACGGACTGGTCATCGTTATGTTTGTCCGTTCCAAGCAATTACGCAAATGCAAAAACATTTACATCGTCAGTCTGGCAATGGCGGACTTCCTGATCGGCTGTACGATGCCCATTTATATTCTGGAAGAAATCGGCGTCCCCTTGTGGACACTGCGCGGCTCTCTCTGTCGCGTCTTCCTAATGTTCCGGTACTCGCTTTTCTACATCTCCTTACTGAGCATCATGTTGATCTCTGTCGATCGATGGTGGTCGATAAACCACCCGTTCTCGTACAGAGTGAGACAAAGCCGCAAACTCGCCCTCTGGTCTGTTCTCTGCTGTTGGTTGCTGAGTTTCGCCATATACGCGCCACCAATTCTTGGCTGGGAAGAAGTGGTCGGAAACGGTGCCAACGAAGACGTCGTTGCTCCCTCAACCACCACGACCGTTACGTCTTCAGCATCGGTAACCCTCGATCTCTTGGTACCGGGATCAACTTCTGAATCTGCTCCAGTTGTGTCCGTTACCACCTGTCGGGCTCCGTTTGAAAACAACTTGGTTTTCATTTTGTTGACGGCCATTATCCTTTACCTATTGCCTTTACTGTCTTTGTGGATCATGAACGCCAGCATTTACTTTAAAATCAGTCAGCGAAAAGGCATGAAAATTCGACGCTCACTTAGCACTTCGGACACCTTCTTCCTCAACTATCGCAAATCGTCATCCGAATCGGACAACATGGGTCAGTTTGACGAATTCATTGACAACATGCTGCCGGCTGTCTACCGAAAAGCCGGGAACGTCGTACCGACAGCAAACAGTGCCGCCCCGCCAATATTCCACGAGGACAAACGAAATTCGCTTTTCATGCCAGGCCCTTTATCGATGCGCCGAAATCCTCTTTGCCAATACGTGTCAACAACACCTTCGTTTGCACAATACGCACGAATTACTCAAAACAAGCGACACGTCTCCTTTGATGCCAACGGTATGATTATGCCAGGTTTTAAACAGAAACGCTTATCTAGTTTCATCCTCACTAAAGGCGGCAGCACCAGCAGCAACAGCAGCAGCAGCAGCAACAGCAGCAGCTGCAGTATGAGAAACGGACTGGCTTTTCGTCGCCAAAGTGATGACCTCGTTAAGGATATGTTTGTCAAGCAAGACAAAAAAGCCGCCTGCTCGTTAGGATTTCTCGTCTTGGTTTTTACCCTTTGCTGGACACCGCACACTGTCTGCAGCATCCTAAAATCAGCCTACGGCAGCTGGTACATTCCGTCTATCTTAGTAACGGTCAGCTATTGCATTCTGGCTACCAACTCTGCAATTAACCCTTTTCTCTATGGACTCTGCAACAGCGATTTCCGTAAAGCGTTCCGCTCTTGGTGTCGAGGACGGAAATCCAAACAGAGGCGCTTCGAGGAAGCACTCTTATATTACGGCCTTCCTCAGGTCTACGAACCGGAGATTATTCCAGAGCAAAGCACGTCGACGCCGACAAGGGACCCGAAGAAGATACCTTGAACGGCCTCCGATATGGCTACTTGCAGCATGCTCAAAAGCTTAGATGGAAACTTCTCAAGTTGAGATACATTAAATGCAGACAAGCGCGAACAAAGCCTCATTTGGAAGGTTCTGGACGCGAGACTTTCGGCGGAAGAATAGAAAGACAGAAAGAAAAGACCGAAACATTGGTCAGGAAAGTTTTTTTCGTCTTTAGTCTTCGCAACTCTCAGAGTTCCATAGACATCTCGCTGTGAGACTCGCGATTTTTCATTGTTTGTACTAAGAGCTGTCTGGTGATACTAGACTTGTGGAACGATTAAAATATCAAAGAATAAAGTACAGAGGCAGCGCTTACCAAAAATGAGGCCATTTTTGGGTAAAGATACAAAAATCAAATTCCAAGAATAGAGACTAAAACCAAACAAAATCTAATGAAAATTGATCGGAAAGGCCGACGAAGATACACCGATCACGGTCGGCGATGATTTGGCTTGACTTTCAGGTTACGTCCAGGAATGATTTTCCAGGCTGGACATTTCTCTTTGTATTTCCTCATGCTTTTGGATCAAGGGAACAGTTTTAACCAAAGCAAGACAACGATAGACTGAAAGGATCACGAAAATGTTTATAAATATTGTGATCATCTTTGAAAGACATATGTGTTCTTCGCCCAAGAATACTCAGACACATCGTGAGGACGATAAATTGACCAAGTAATTTCTCTCTCATTTTTTCTTTCATTCATATATATATATATATATATATATATATATATATATATATATCTTTTTTTTTTTTCTTTTTTCTTTATATTGTCCTGTTTATTTGTTATTTTTTTATATCTTTATTATATTGACATTTTTTGGTGTTTTTTTTTTGTTTTGTTTTGTTTTTGTTTTTCTGCCTGTGTGTATAATCTTCTCGTCGTGGAAAAAATTGAATTGATATATTTTGATGGAAACAAATCGTTGAATTTTGAAATTGATTATCCTTATAATTTATTTTTTTTATATGCAAGTCTTTCAAAACTTTCAAATTTTTATTGTCAGGGCGTGGTTTTTGTTGACTGATGAATGGTGGTAATCACTAGAAAGCATCGTCTTTTGTAAAAAGAGTTGTTTCGGGGGGGAGGGATTTTTTTTATTTTGCTTTACTAAAATAGTCACATTTTTCATTAGTAAAAAATAGTTTATTTAGTTTAAAAAATATATTTATTTTTTAGTAAAATAATTGAAATTACTTAGAAAATGTTTTTATTATTATACATGTTATTTATATTGTTATAATGTTTTATTTAATTTTTTTACAGCTGAAGCGATAATTTAGTTTAGTAAAATTTATTTATATTATTTATTAAAGTAGTTTATTTGTTTAATATATTATTTGAATATTTTAACAAAGATTTTAATTCCTTTCGTGAAATAATTTATTTCCTTTTAAATTATTTCTTCGGTGAAATAATTTGTTTTTATTACAAAAAAACTGTTTATTTACTTCAGTAAAAGATGCTATTTTCATCAGCAAAAGATATTATTTTCATCAGCAAAAGATATTATTTTCATCAGCAAAAGATATTATTTTAACAAAATTTTAATTAAAAGTTTTCTTTTATGGACCACTGAAAACTTCTGCTATCACTCTCTATCTCTCTCTATCTCTCTCTCTCGCTCTCTCTCGCTCTCTCTCTCTCTCTCGCTCTCTCTTTCTCTCTCTCTATTCCATACACATACATACGCACGCATACACCTACACTTCCATATACTCTCCACACTCTTTCTTCCTCTCAAATATACATACATGCTCTTTGTTTTTTCACGGGATAAACACTTTCTTACTTTTATTACCGTTTAATGCTAATTAATATTTAAAATATGTATATGTTAACGTATGATCGAGTGTTTCAATACTAGGTATCACCGACTTTTTTTTATCTAATATTGTTTATTTTGGTACCGCATCACGTGGGGGGGGAGGTAATGGTGAACGAGCTAGTCTAATTCACCACTACTAATGTATAGTAAGTCCGATTCTTACTGGATGCCACATGCTTATGTCATTAAGCCAAACCTAAAGTTCACTTAGTAAATAATAATAATAATAATAATAATAATAATAATGTTCATTTTCTGCAATTTACATATTGGGAGGCTGTCACTATCCATTCACAAAATAATGCCTAAATACAATTTCGAAGTTTATAAGGGGGGGAAAAATACGCCATACAAAACAAAAGGATGAAATAGGAAGATTATGTTGCGCCAATCTGACATTTGGGGAGGGGGCCTGTCCGCTTGTGTTGGAAAAAAAAATGGTATTCTGTACTTTGCACACAACAGGGATTGTAGGACACCCGGTGAGGATCGAGCTCACTGCAAAAGCAAAAACGATCCAAAACACAATGTTTGAAACGTTGCGCTAGAAGAGACGCCCACATATGTGTGTATTTCATAATTGACTGATCTAGGAGTTTTTTTTTACGATTTATCAACCTTTTTGGGAGTAAATAATCACGGTCTGGTATATTTCATGTACATAAATAATGTAATGTACATAATGTCCACAGTATATATGCGGAATGTTTTGCTTATGACGTACTAAACTAAATTTAGCAAGGATAATAAGTCTGCCTCAAGGCCACAGAAATGGGGCGAACGCACGGGGAAGATTTAATTATCTGCAAGTATTCATTGCAGTTAAACAACGTTAAGATTGGTCAGCACCTAAATGGGTGACCGCTTGGGAATATCAGGTGCTGTAAGCGTGGATGTGCGGGTGGTGTAATGGATAATGGCTCGGAATTGTTAAACGGAGAGCCGTGTCCCAATTTCAGTCGAGTTCGTTATATTTACTTATGCGTAAATACCTTTTGGAACGGTATGAATCCACACTTCCCTCGTCCACAAGCTATGGATTAATTAGTAGGACTTGTATCAGTAGAAATAGTTATTCCCCAAAAAATTTCTAAAATATATCCTGGCTTTAAATAACCTGAAAAAGGTTGATAAGCCGTAAAAAAAAACACGAATAAATCATTGCAGATTAATAAAAACTTTACATGTTTTAACATTTTATTGTTTATGTTCAATAATTCTAATCCGATCCCTACAATCATAACCTGTTTAAGTCTAACGTTACCTGTGCCTATTAATCTATAACCCTCTACCTCGAGTGGTTCACGGGCCTTGTACAGTAACTTAATCCTCCGCTTTCTTCCCACGCTATAAATGAAAATAATTATCATAAATAAAACCAATATTTCATGTATACCCATATTTAAATATATCTTGTTTATATATATATATATATATATATATATATATATATATATATATATATATATACTATATATACATGTATATATATATATCTTGCTTTAAATATATCTTGCTTATCTATCTAGCGTTTATTTAGCTCCAGGGTAATTGCAATTTAAGTAAACTTTTCACACAAAATTTATAAACTAAAAACGTTGTGGCGATAAAACAGGCTGGCTATCTTCGTTGTTTTTGAATTGCAAAGTAAAAAAATAATGTTAAAATAAAATTCGATTCCTACTACGTCATAAAAAGAGATAGAGATGAGTGTATTCCTTATGTATAAAATTTAACATAACATAAAAATTCTCTTTCTACATCACCGCGAGAGTCCACTACATGGAGAAAAGTATTTCAACAATCTCTATCTAATGGACCATATATGGGTCCATATTGCGTTGATTATCTATCTATCTATCTATCTATCTATATATATATATATATATATATATATATATATATATATATATATGTGTGTGTGTGTGTGTGTGTTTGTGCGTGTGTGTGTGTGAAAATATATAGAAAATAGGAAAAGAACTCGTTAGGTAAATAATCCAAAGTTCTTTAGTATTTTAGTTGTTATTTTTTAAAAATAGAGCTCGATACAAAAGTAGAGCATAAATATAATTATTTATTTATCATATTTTTAAATAAATAATATATATATATATATATATATATATATATATATATATTTGAACGTGGTGTTATGTTTAGGAAGCTTGTCTTGCTAGAACAATTACGACCGTGTAGTGAGTTTGATCCTTACTAAGTGTCCCATACTTTCGGCCTTGTGCCACATCTTAGCTACGCTCTCTCTCTCTCTCTCTCTCTCTCTCTCTCTCTCTCTATACATATATATATATATATATATATATTGAACGTGATGTTATGGTTAGCAAGTTTGTCTTGAAATTTCAATTACGACTGGGTGCTCCATACTTCCGTCCTTGTGTCACATCTAAGCTACGTTTAATTTAAATCGCTATATAGCAAACAACTAAAATTCATTATTCGACTTATGTTCCCGACTCAGAGTTTTGAAGAAATGATATTTTCTCGTTGTGGATTTTAGACAGTTAAACTGAAATTGTTTAAATATCTAACGTGGTTATATGCAAGATAAGATGAGCATTTTAATTTAATTGGTTTAGAGATCGTATACTATTTTTTAATACCGAACATAAAGCCTGCTTTCCTTGGAAGATACCCGGCCAACCGCCAGTGTTCGGCCGTTTTTTTATTTACGTATGTTGCGAAACAAAAAGCCTTTTTAGCTTCCCCCCCACGCACACACACACACACACACACACACACACACACACACATATGTATATATATATATATATATATATATATAAACAACACTCAGTAATATCAACTCTGAACATGGACACAATATCTTGACCGTGTTTTGAAAATGAAAACATTATATAAATACATACATGCAACAAAATATTTCTTGTTAACAATTAATATATTTCAACCTTGAAAATGGCTAAATGTATAGCCGAAAGCGCTCGGATAAAACGAACATTCGGACAGTTTTTATATAATTTATCATTTGAAAAAAAAAGTATTAGATTCACCTGAGAAATTGTATAAAAAACTAAATCAAAGCACCTTGCCTGTCGTATTCAATGAAATGTGCATGAAAGAAGGATTGCTGCCTAAATACACAAATATATATATATGTGTGTGTGT